AACTTAAGATAGCATGAAAATCTGAGAACAAACAAAAGGGAAATGAATTGAACATGACATTAGATACACCAATCATTATTATCCTAATTTTCCGTAGGCCGTCACTTCTAGGAGTAGAAGGGTGAGACATTATTCGCTAGCCACCCGGAAATAATGAAACATCAATGATTTTCTTGACGATATTGTAACATTCTACCAGATAGTTGCGTACTTATACTAGTGTACTTACCCATATCTGTGGCTGTACACGACATTTCTCCAGTTATCATTCTCTGGCCGAGTGTTCTAGTCCAGTTAAGTTGAGAGAGCTAGTGATCGAAACTGCAGAGGTCAGGCTCAAGCAAGACTCGAAGATTTAAGAAATTAGCAAGAGATTTTTGCACAGAGTTGTGATCGATCTGTTCACCATTGTGTTAAATTAACAAGAACTTGTAACTGTTTGGAGAATCGAGCTGTGTTAGCTTGTCAAAGTTATATTGACCGTCCTGATTTCCTGTCATGTGGAAATTGTTTGATCATGCAGTACAATCTGATAGGTTAATACGGCTATATATGAGGAAATACATCAATAGATTATTGTTACTATAAATACTGACTCACTCTTTTTTTCAGTAAGGACCGTCTCGGCAATGAGCAGAAACAGAAAAATACAATGTATTCAGTGCAGGCTGCAGAAGATGCTTCAGCGTGCAAGAAGCAGCGCAGACGTCTTCATTTCCGCGTCAAAACCCGATGGACCGTGGATCAAACCGGGGATTTCCCCGGCCGCTGTGTACTAAAAACTGCTTATGTCATCAGAGTCATCATCAGGGGGTATATCACGAATTATCTCCACACTCGTCGGTCCATGTATGCTCAAAAAAATAGGTTGAACCACTTTCACTGCGCGCCAACTGGAAGACACAGCCGATGCAGCAGCGATTGTTTTTGGAAGATTGTGAAGACTGCCCTGGAGTATGTGCAGCAGAGCGTAACCTGCGTTACACGCGTAATACAATCTCCTGGAGAACGTAGAGAGACAGTAAGCAATATTAAAGAAGAACTAAATATAAATTCATTTCCGACTCAGGTCATAAATGGAGCCACTGGCAACCGCCTGCCGCCGAACATGCCATGGATGGAACATTTACAGGCAAATTGCTCTAGTGCAGCACCGGTANAAATCAACTCATGGGTTTCCTTTTCTTTCCTATATGAGTGTGGGGCTCCGCTTGGCGGCCCTTCGGGCCGTCGGAGCTCCGCTATAAAAGCTACCGTTACGGCTAAAAAGGTTCCATGGGGCAAATCAACTTTTCATGCAGAAAAATGAAAAGGAACGCTATAAAAGGCTCTTTATTTGAGAACAGGGCTCGGNAAAAAAAAAAAACAATCGGCAACGGACCTATTCGGGTGGGCTCGTAGCTATTCGGTTTCTCTCATGATTCCGTCGAGTGCTCGATCAGTTCAGCGTAAGCCATAAGAGTAGCAAGTTACTATTTTTGGAAAGCTTAATTTGGCGAATTTACTGATTCATGTTAATTAATATAGAAATCGCCGTTTTTTGTTGAGATCACCAAAATCTATCGGAACACGGCAAGGGAAACGCAATTAATCCCTATAACATTAAGCTTCCGCCTAAAATTGTAGTAACCTAGCTTATATTGAACATGCAAGAATCTGGTGTCAGAGGAAGCGTTATGCGTGCAATGGATTAATGTTCACGATGAAGGTCTGAAGGCCAGTCTCAGTTATTTCAATTTTGTTTATTTTCAATTAGTTATTGCATATTTGGTATCTAATTCAAAAATAGTACCTTCAATACTGCAGAAAATCGCTGGGCTGTAGTGACCTGTGACCTAGGGGCGGGACGTGACTGATATGCCTAGGAATGCTTGATGAATGTTCTGCCACACTTAAGCAGGAGTTGCATCTTTACTTCAAATTAAACACCGACAGGGCGGAAATAGGGAGCTAAACAGTGGAAAAGACTTCTTTATCACTCACTCACTCAGTGAGTGAGTGCGATAATAATAAAAAAATGCGATAATAATAATAATAATAATAACAATAACAATAATAATGATAATAATAATAATAGTAATAATTTTAAAGTCTCTAAGGAATTTCGTCTGAATTACCAAGAGAGCATGAAATTTGCGGAGAATCTGAGAACAAACAATTGAAAGGGAAAGAGAATTAAACAAAGGATCAGATACACCAGTCATTATTATCCTACCAAACTTTAAGGAAACGAAATTTTTCGTCCGCCGCCTGTTATCCCTTGTCAGACATTATTGACTAGCCACCCCGGAAATAATGAAACATCAAGGCCTTTCAGAACGATATTGCAAACTTCTAGCAGGGAGCTGTGCACTTATATTAACGTACTTACCCATATCAACAGATTTACAAGACACTTCTACTATGTCGTCTGGCCGAGTTTTCTAGTCCAGTCAAGTTGAGAGGGCTAGTGATCGAAACGGCAGAGATCAGGCTCAAACAAGACTTGAACATTTAAGACATTAACGAAAGATTTCCACGAGTTGTTATCGATCTGTCAAATACTATGTTAAATTAACAAGAACTCGGAACTGTTTGAATGTACTTTGGAGAATCGAGCTGTTATTAGCTTGAATAAGTTAAAGTGAATTCCTGATTTCCTGTCGTGTCGTAATTGTTTGATTATGCAATATAGACTGATAGCTTAATACGGCTATATATGAGAGGACATACATCAACAGAATATTGTTACTATAGATACTGACTCACTTTTTTTTCAGTAAGGACTCGGCGATGACCAGAAACAGAAGATGCAGTGTCTTGAAGGGTGCAAAGAGATGCTTCACCGTGCAAGAAGAAGCTAAGATGGTTTTATTTCCTCCCTGAGCTCGGTGGACCATGGATTAACTGACGGGGTTTTACCCGCCGAGTTTACTAAACAAGCAATTTGAAAACTGCTTATGTCATCAATGTCATCATTAAGTCGTGTCAGATTGGGTATATCACGAATTACTTCCACGCTCGTCAGTCCATGCATGCTTAAAAAAATAGGCTGAACCACTTTCACTGCGTGCCAACTGGAAGACACAGCCGATGCAGTAGCGATTGTTTTTCTTAAAGACTGTGGAGACCAAGAGAGCGTGACCTGCGTTACACTCGTCACACAATCTCCTGCAGAACGTAAAGGGACAATAAGCAGTGTTAAAGAAGAACTAAATATAAATTCATTTCCGACTCAGGTCATAAATGGAGCCACTGGCAACCGCCTGCCGCCGAACATGTCATGGATGGAACATTTAGTGGCAAATTGCTCTGGTGCAGCACCGGTAATTGGCCATATGGAAGGGCTTATCAAAGAAACAAATAAATTAAACAATTTTATTGTTTAATTTTAAAATTATCCTCTAGCCTAAGTTTATACTACTTGATACTCTTCGAACGAGCGAATTTTCCTTATCATGGCATTCTTCATGTCAATTTTCATAAGAAAAAATTTCTGCCAATTTGTCAACCCTCAGGTCAAGTTTGTCTGGCTAAGTGTTAAGTCTGTTACATATAATAACAGCAACAAATTGCAATGATGAAACTTCTTTCGCGCCCCTGGGGCCAGTTTCTCGAAGGTTCGGAAAAATTTTCGCACCCGGAAAGCCATAGCAAAATTTCAAACCTTATGAATACAGAGCTGTTTTATTCACATATTCTTAATGTAAAGAGAGGTTCTCTTCATACAAGGAGTTTCAGGCATATACACCACTCGGTTTTTAGGTACAGATTAACTAAAAATGGTTTGCGGGCCCGAAAAGTTTCCAGGGTTGTCGAGAAACGTGCCCCTGGTTTTGATTCACTTTCGGCAAAAAAGGCTATTCCCCGGTCTATTTTGGACATTACAAATGCCAAATGCTTGCTCTTTTGTGTCGAGTCTCTCATGCATGTCTCTCAAATACGTCTAATGTTTGAAATGGGTTATCTCGCAGTCTCCCGTCAGCGGCGCCAAAGTTCAGTTGTCATCACTCAAAATGGGCCCCTGACTTATTGAGAGGTCTTGGAAACAAAGGTTATAACTTCACAGCAATTTTCATTGCACATTATTGGTTCGGATTCAAGATGTAGCCAGGCTTGCTTTTATAAAACCTCAATTCTACCAAATTAACCATTTACTTGTGCTGATTTAAGGAATCGAGGTCCACCAATCGCCCACTTTTTTGTTCTTACCACATTTTGACGTCATCTGTGATTGATTTCTGTCAGCTGCATGTTAAAGAAAAGCACAATTTTTTTCCAAAACTTTCTTTTTCTCCATAATTCTGTCCAATTGACCAATCTTAGCCTCTAACGAGCAACATTTGGCTCGATGAAGGATTTTATACATTTTTCTTTAAACATTGCAATGTTAGACATCGTATTATGCTATCAGAGACGACGATTATCGAGAAATTATAGGACTTTGCAGCTTCCTTTTCCTGTGCCACTTACGTTCCTCTGGCTGTTGATGGCTCACTTGATTTTATTTTCGTCACAAGAGAACTTTACTGTCTATTTAACC